TTTATAAATACTACTTATACACATTTTAAAAATAAAGAAATTAAATAAAAATGACAAATGCATACAACAACATTTCAAAACTAAACATTTAAATGAAAACAAAAAAATAAAGCTAAAAACAATTCAAAATATTAAAAGAACAAACGGTATGAGTATAATAATGATTCTAACATAACACTAAGCCAAACACAAAAACATTTAATTAATTGTTAGTTCATGTTAATTCACAGCGCATTAACTAATGTTAACAAGCACAACTTTTGATTTTAATAATGCATTAGTAAATGCTGTAGAAGTATTGTTCATTCTTATGAACTTCATGTTAAGTAAAATATTTAACTAATGAACCTTATTGTTAGTTTTAGCTTTAGTTAACTATAGTAACCCTGTTTTATGAATGTTTTGCCGTAACACAATAAAAATATTTATCATTATAGTAATACCAGGCATTTTTTTTATTACTTGTATTTTTTTTACTCTATTAGACTTGAATGTAAACACCTCTTCACATGTGAAGAGACGATGCTTTGCTGTCGTTTTGTAGTTTAGTGGCAATAAATGCTCTCTTTAGAATAGAGGAGAGTTTCGTCTGCTCGAGGAATATTAATATACTGTAACCGCTCTGTTTTCAGGGTCACTCTGGCTGCGTCAACTGTCTGGAGTGGAACGAGAGAGGAGAGTAAGTTCAGAGTTCTTCACGTCTCCGTGTCTCTTCATAAACTCACTGGGTTTGTTCTTTCCAGCCTCCTGGCCTCAGGTTCGGATGACCAGCACGCCATCGTCTGGGATCCCTTCCGGCACATCAAGCTCATCACTATGCACACGGGACACGCAGCCAACATCTTCTCCGTGAAGGTGAAGGCCATGTGTTTGACTCAGCGTCTAGTAAACATGCATGAATGTGTGTTCTCATCCGTGTGTGTTTGCAGTTCCTGCCTCACTCCGAGGACCGGATCTTAATCACAGGAGCCGCAGACACCAAGGTGCATGTGCACGACCTGACGGCGAAGGAGACCACTCACATGTTCTCAGACCACACTAACCGTGTCAAGCGCATCGCCACGGCTCCCATGAGACCCAACACCTTCTGGAGCGCGGCGGAGGACGGGGTCATCAGGTACGGAGACTTCAATCTGCGCTTCGGACGTCATACAGGGGTTCTGAGTCAAACAAAAACTCATAATTAATTCCATCGAATGTAACAGTAAAATAAATGGTCTGAGCCGATAGCCTCGTGAGCGCTGCTTTGGGTAACCCAAGTTCAAAGCCAAATAATAAATGAGATTGCATGATAATTGTGATGCATTTTAGTGTTATTATCAAATCAGAGGCAGCAGTTTAATTAACATAATAAATAGTATTTTTTATTTTACAGTACAATTGTAATTTATATTGAAATGTAAATATTAACTATATACTATTATAGTTTTTAATATTTAATTTTTTATTTATATATTTGAGTTTTTATTTTCATATTTTCCATTTTTATTTAAATTTTAGTTATAGTTTTAGTAATTTTGTTGTTTTTTAATAATATTTATATATTTGAGTTTTTATTTTCATATTTTCCATTTTATTTTAATTTTAGTAATTTTGTTGTTTGTAATAATATTTATTTATATAGAGTTTTTATTTTCATATTTTTCATTTTTATTTTAATTTTAGTTAGTTTTAGTAATTTTGTTGTTTTTAATAATATTTATTTTATTTATATATTTGAGTTTTTATTTTAATTTTTTCCATTTTTATTTTCATTTTAGTAATTTTGTTGTTTTTAATTATTTATTTTTTTATTTGTATATTTGAGTATTTTTTTATATTTTCCATTTTTATTTTAATTTTAGTAATTTTGTTTTTAATATTTATTTTTTATATATTTTAGTTTTATTTTCATATTTTACATTTTTATTTTAATTTTAGTTATAGTTTTAGTAATTTTGTTGTTTTTAATAATATTTATTTATTTTATTTATATATTTGGGTTTTTATTTTCATATTTTCCATTTTTTAACTTTAGTAATTTTGTTGTTTTTAATAATATTTATTTATTTTTTATATATTTGGGTTTTTATTTTCATATTTTCCATTTTTATTTTTATTTTAGTTATAGTTTTAGTACATTTTTGTTATTTTAGTGAATTGGAAATGTTGCCTTAGAAACTAAATGAAATATAATAAGGTCAAGGTTTTTTTTTTTTTTTTTACATTTTATTTAATTCCAGTTAACGTTTATTTTATTTCAAGTGACTAAAATGTTTTTGGATGGTTTTAGTTCAGGTTTCATAATAATAACCCTGATACGCATACGGCACACAGAAGTGTAAAGAACTTAAAAAAAAATCTCACGCTCCAAGTGTTCAATCTCATTCTCAAAGGAACAGACTGGAGCTAAAACAGAGCTTTTACAGCTGCTCTTCAACAATAAGCGTCTGATGCGCCGTCGCATGAGCAAAATCTTGCAGGCAGAAAAGAGAAATGGAGCTTTTTTGCACAAAGTCGCTTTAGAATCTGCATTTCACACGAAAATTCACATGGATTCCTACAGAAATTACTGGATTCTGCTGCAGAAATATTAAATGTACACCTTTACACTTATTTAAAGTGAACATGAAATCAAAATTGGCTCCGTTTACGTCCTTTACAGAAGTTCCCGGTCTGATTGTGAACATTATTACGAAAGGAGAAAACTAGTCTGGCATCACAATGTACATTTCTTTTCCAGTCTCTCTTACTATAGAGTCGTCTGTGTTTTCCATCAGGCAGTATGATCTGAGAGAGAGCAGTAAACGCTCAGAGGTGTTAATCGATCTGACGGAGTATTGTGGGCAGCTCGTGGAAGCCAAATGTTTGGCCATCAACCCTCGTGACAACAACTACCTGGCTGTGGGAGCCAACGGGCCCTTCGTCCGGCTCTACGACATCAGAATGATCCACAATCACAGGTCATTGCATTATTATCACGAGTGAGGCAGAGTGTCCATACATTAAGCTCAGAACAGAACATAATGTGTTAACAATCTTCTCTCAAATCACATTGCATCAGGTTTGATGTCATCAGAACTGAACATTTGAAAAGCGCAACAATAAATCAGATTTGAGATCTGCGGCAGACTATCAGTGCTTTCCAATTTTAGATTTTAAAATTAAATTTAGAATAAAAATTTTTGGGTGGAGTACTGCTTGAAATACTGTTACCGTATTTTCCTGAAAATAAGCCGCACCTGGTCAAAATTGCATTATTGAATCGCAGTGGTGAATAAATGTTTTATTATTAAATTCAGAAATAATGTAAGATACCGGAAATGAATTCTCACTTCACGACAAATCCTTAAAATTTAACAGTATTCACAGGAGAACAGGAATTAAAAAATATAAGTGTAAAACAAAAATGCATTTTATTAAAGCAATAAGCCCCAAGAAGCCGTGGTTTACAGTGAATTTATAACAGCTAAGGGGCGTTGTTAGGCACGAGCTTAGCTGTTATAAATTCACTGTAAACCACGGCTTCACGGGGTTTATTGCTTTTATAAAACGGTTATTCCATATATGTAGTAAGGTTTCACAAAATAAAACAGAGCAAATAAAGTGTAATGATATTAATAAAAACAGTATTCTTCCACCAAACAATGTAGCTCCTCAGAAACAGTTGTGGTTGCTACAAAGTGGTTGCCGAGCAACACACAAACGTAAACAAAGGTGTGTGTTACTTTGTAGAGTCATTTACAACAGCTTTGAACGAAGCTCAGCCAATCAGAATCAAGGACCGGAACTGTCTGTTTTATAAAGAAGTCTTGGTTATAGATGCATGTTGTTAGAATTTTGAGGGATGTTTTCTTTAGTGTGTAACGTTTGTGAACCGTCTCCTAGGAAGTCTTTGGGTCAGAGTGGCTCAGCCGGTGTTCACACGTTTTGCGACAAGCGGGAATCGATACCGGACGGCGCGGGACAGTACTATGTCGCAGGTTTGTCGAGAGCATGAGAAAAACTTCTGTATTGGGAAAAACACATTCTACAGATGTTTCACTCCGCTTGTAGGTCACTTACCGGTGAAGCTTCCTGATTATAACAACAGATTACGAGTTCTGGTGGCCACCTACGTCACATTCAGTCCTGACGGCACTGAGCTGCTGGTAAACATGGGTGGAGAACAGGTAAACTACTGACTCTTGCTGCTGATAGTGTGCTAGTATGCAGCACTGATGCACAGTTATGCAATACTGCTTCCTGTTTGCAGGTGTATTTATTTGATCTGACGTTCAAACAGAGGCCGTACACCTTTCTGCTGCCCAAAAAATGCCACTCATCATCAGGTAAGCTGTGAATGCTATCACAGAAGCCAATATTATTATTATAAATACACTACCTGTCAATAAGATTTTTAGTGTTTTTTAAAGAAGTCTCTTCTGCTCACCAAGCCTGCATTTATTTGATTCTAAATACAGCAAAAGCAGTAAAATTGTGAAATATTTTTACTATTTAAAACAGCTGTTTTCTATGTGAATATCTGTTAAACTGTAATTTATTTCTGTGATGCGCAGCTGTATTTCCAGCATCATTACTCCAGTCTTCAGTGTCACATGATCTTCAGAAATCATTCTAATTTGCTGCTCGAGAAACATTTCTGATTATTATCAATGTTGAAAACAGCGAGTAGAATTTTTTCAGGGTCGTTTGATGAATAGAAAGTTCAGAAGAACAGCATTTATCTGAAATATAAATCTTTTGTAACATTATAAATGTCTTTATCATCACATGTGATCAATTTAAAGCATCCTTGCTAAATAAAAGTATTAATTTATATAATTTCTTTCCCCAAAAATAATAATAATACTGACTCTAAAGCTTTTGAATTGTAGAGTGTATAATGTTACAAAAGCTTTTTATTTCAGATAAATGCTGATCTTTGGATATTTCTATTCATCAAAGAATCCTGAAAAAAATGTATTCAACTGTTTTCAACATTGATAATAATAATAAATGTTTCTTGAGCAGCAAATCAGCATATTAGAATGATTTCTGAAGATCATGTGACACTGAAGACTGGAGTAATGATGCTGAAAATACAGCTGCGCATCACAGAAATACATTACAGTTTAACAGATATTCACACAGAAAACAGCTGTTTTAAATAGTCAAAATATTTCACAATATTACTGCTTTTGCTGCATTTTGGATCAAATAAATGCAGGCTTGGTGAGCAGAAGAGACTTCTTTAAAAAACATTAAAAAACCTTTGACTGGTAGTGTATATTAGTCAGTCATTTAGGATCTTAAAAATGACTAGGTGTGAGCAATATAGCTAAAAAAAAAAAGTAAGTTAAAAGAAGTCTTTATGCATTTGCTTATTTCACTAAAAGATGCTCTGAATATCCAAGTAGATTGGAATTGTTTAACAGTTTAAGTGCAAGGTTATTATAGTTTACTGAAACTATACTGAACTCGCTCTTTGATTATGCATTTTGATGATGCTACTGCTTTCTGGTATAGTACTTGTTCCCAGGGTATGAAAGAGAAATTAAAAAAGCCTCGGAAAGAATTAGTCAGAATATTTTTATAAAAGTTCATCCTCGAACATATTTGCGTTGTGAATGTTTTAAAGAGTTGGGTTTGTTTAACTGTGGAAAAAAATGTATTTATTTTTTTATTGGGTGTGACATTTGGGTGGTTCCACGATATTTCGAAAATCACTTTCATATGGTGAGACGACAGCATTGTTATGAATTTTAATATATATCCATTTAAGTTTAGAAGTTTGGTGGGGAAAAATGTTTTTATACACCAGTGCAACTGGTGGAAATAAAAGACTTGGGAAATTTCAATTCAATTCAACTCAGACTAAAATGAAAATTAAAGGTACAAATTTTTTTTTTTTTTATTATATATTTTTATTATATATTTATATTTCTATTATATATTTCTATTTTTATTTTATTATTTTTTCTTATAGTGTAACTTAATGTATTAAAATAACTAAAATAAAAAAATGAACAAGAAAAAAGGAAACTGATAAAAAATGTTTACTAAAATTTAAAATAAAAACTGATTCAAAATATTAATAAAAACTACGATAGTATCTCAATGATACTAAAATAACACTGTTGCACAGATGATGCAAATGAATCAGTGAATTGATTCATTGAAACAGAATTTGATTCACAGAAATTGCAACGTTTTGCTACTAAAGTTTAAATGAGAGATGTTACTAAAACATCTGATGTCGCTCTCAGACTCGCAGATAACGAGACGGGGAAGAATCGTCAAACTAATCGACTGCTCTTTGTTCATTGCAGAGGTACAGAATGGGAAGACGACCAACGGTGTGTCCAATGGGATTCATCTTCCTGCCAGCCGCCTCAAACTGGCTACAGTTTCCAGGTAGGTTTGATTTATGTGTGACTGCATCGTCGATTCCAGCGCCGTACGTTTGTAATAGGGTTGTGACGGTGAGGAAATTTTCCCACTGGTTAATCGACGTGAACACAGATAATACCGGTATCACTGTGGGGGTGGGGCGTTCCCTCTTTTCCTTGCTTTCCTTCGATGGCAAAAGTCAACAGGCTTTTCAAAATCCAAAATATTGCCAAACAGGCGCTTTTGCATCTCGTTTCGAAACTAAATCATCCGCGGTCGTCTTGTCTGTCTCACCTCACTCTTCTCGTCAGTCAGCTCGACTCACTCTCCTCACTGGAGAAATTAAATCTGATCTGTGATGCGACTGTCGTTCGGCACGCTGCATTGAGCAGCCATGTTCAGTTTTTAATTGTAGTGTCTGTTCTTTTACTGAACTAAATTATTTTTATTACTATAAAAAATCTAAACGACGGTGGGGGTTGGTGCCGCGGTGGGCAAGTGACGTAACCGGTGTTGAGGCTTAACAACGGTATCACCGTCTATCGCGGCAAGCCTAGTTTGTATGATGTCATTTCCTATTCATTTGTCACACACTGGTCTGAGTTGGAGTGACTGTGGTCTGTTTTTGCGTCTCCAGTGGCTCCAGTGATCTCCCTCCTCATCTGGAGCGGATCAAGCAGCAGGCTAACAATGCGTTCGCGCAGCAGCAGTGGACTCAAGCCATCCAGCTCTACAGTCTGAGCATCCATGAAGCCGGCCACAACGCCATGCTGTACGGAAACCGCGCTGCCGCGTACATGAAGAGAAAGTGGTACGATAAACGCTTCTGAGGCAAGATGGGCTGCATGGTTCGATTAATAAAACATCATAATTATTTTGACATTGGAAACGACTCGTCTCATGTTGGAGATGTGCACCGCCTCATGCATGCAGCGCTATTTCTTTAATCATATCACGGCCTTTTGTGCTTCAAGGAAAGACACATAGGGAATACGCTCTGAATACGGTAATATTTTGCTTTCCCCACTTGATCAATTGACAGTACATGAAGTCAAGTTTTCTGAAATGTTATGTTTAAATGTGTCCATGGAGCACAAAAGCAGTGTTAAGTCGCTGGGGTATATTTGTAGCAATAGCCAACAATACATCATATGGGTCAAAATTATTGATTTTTCTTTTATGCCAAAAATCATTAGGATATTAAGTAAAGATCATGCTCCATGAAGATATTTTGTAAATTTCCTACTATAAATATATTATGCATTATATTTACATAATGCATAAATATATTTAAATATATCGTATATGCATTGCTAAGAACTTAATTTGGACAACTTTAAAGGCGATTTTCTCAATATTTTGATTTATTTACACCCTCAGATTCCAGATTTTCAAATAGTTGTATCTTGGCCAATTATTGTACATTACAAACCATGCATCAATGGAAAGCTTATTTATTAAGCTTTCAAATGATGTATAAATCTCAATTTAAAAAAATTGACCCTTATGACTAGTTTTGTGGTCCAGGGTCACATATATGCAAATGGATAAATATGCACAAGATTCAAAATTGTGCAACATTCGAAATTGGTTCAAAATTTGGCGCAACAGTTAATAATTGATGAACCTTTAAAGGCAGACCTGTTGTGAGCTCCGAGGTTCACAGTTAGCTCACTTGCAGCTGCGTGCACATTGTGGTGGCAGAAAAACACTGGGAACAAGTGGAGGGAAACGGGTAAAATCCATGGAGTAAGAGAAAAAATGTATAGTTGTGCCTTTGGATGTCAGAATCGGAATGCAAATAATTTTTATAGAATACTGTCATCAAAGACGCCGTACTTTCTTGTACCATTTAAGACTTTTTATGGCCTTAAATATGATTGACCTTTTAAGACCCGCGGAAACAGAAAATGCGCTGCATTAATTGTGCGTTAATAAAATTAGTGCCGTTAAAATGAATTTGCGTTAATGCGTTATTAACGCGTTAATTTTGACAGCCCTAATTTAAACCTATAACATTTACCTATTTTGTCTCTCAATCCTGACTTTTTTTCTCGTAAATGCAAGTTATTATCTCTTAGTTCGGACTTTATAACTCGATTTAACTCAACAATTGCGAGTTTGTCAATTCTGAGTGAAAAAAAGGCAGAAGTGTGGGATATAAACTCATGATTCTGAGCCGAGGGGGAAAGTTGATTTTTAAAAAAAATCAGATTTGTGAGATATAATCTCAAAATTGCGAGAAAAAAAAGTCAGAATTTTGAAATATAAACTCAAAATTTCCTTTTTTATTCTTTTGTTCCATGGCTTCCAGAGACTGCTACTTAAAAACTCATTATCTGCCACCAGATAGGCTCCGCCCACAAAAAACCTCATCAATGTTTGCAAACACCGAAATTGGTCTATTCAACTTATTTAGAAAATAATTGTTTAACAGCAGAATTTGTGAAAAACTACAGTACCCATGATGCTGTACAGAAAATTCCACCAATCAGAGTTGCTGCGAGCAAAGTGTGCCAAGAGATCTTTAGCTCCGCCCACTCCCATGAAGCACGGCGAATGACGTAATCGAGTCTCCCTACGCTCTCAAAATACCTAAATATTTGTGTATTTGTACAAATTCTGCAATAAAGTAGGGCTGTCACGTGTTAACTTAATTAGTTATGAAAAATAATGCGATTAAAATATTTTAAAAAGTCGTCACCGACAACCTCGTGGGCAGCGCGTCGACATGTAGTGCTATTGCGCTTCGGGCGTCCCGTGTTCGAGTCCCGGCTCGTGGACCTTTCCCGATCCCATCCCACCTCTCTCTCCCACTTCGCTTCCTGTCTCACTACTATCCAATCAATAAAAAAAAAAGAAAAAAAAAAGGCAAAAACACCAAAAATAAATCTTTAAAAAAAATATATATATATTTTAACACAGTTAATGCACTGGCCCCGCCCCCAGACCGGTACGTCATCTTACATTTCCGACAGTTGACTGTTGACAAATATGATGCAGGGCAACAACTCCACAAAAACTCCTAAAATTCAAGATATTGAGGCAAAAAATGCCCCTGTATGAGTTTTTGTCTCATATTTATATCATATGATGAGCGATATCACACGAGTGCTGTTTTTGTCACGAATAGCTAGAGTGCGAATGTGATTTTATACAACAGTTCAGTAAATAAGAGTTAATATCGTGTGTTTTTGTTCAATTTTGCCAACATAAATGTTACTTGTAAAGCCATATATTGTTGTGCGTCTCCGAGCAGCACGGCAGTGTTTAGTTTTTGAATGAATCAGCCGTTTGAACGAATCGTGTGAACCAATGATTCAAAGGCCCATTGATAGAGAGCCGTTTGCTTCATTCCTGAATGAATCAGCCGTTTGAGAGACGTTTGCTTCATTCCTGAATGAATCAGCCGTTTGAACGAATCGTGTGAACCAATGATTCAAAGGCCCATTGATAGAGAGCCGTTTGCTTCATTCCTGAATGAATCAGCCGTTTGAGAGAATCGAATGAATGAATGACTCATAAAGACATTTAGTGCCACCTGCTGGCAGTTTTAGTTTCTTAGACTGAGAGTATCATTTAATTCATTTTAAAAAATAATAGTAAATAAATAAACATTAAAGGGATAGTTCACCAAAAAATAAATAAATTCTGTCATCATCACCCTCGTGTCATTTCAAACCTGAATGACTTACTTTCTTTTGCGCAACATAAAAGAAGGTATTTTGACGACTGTTGGTAACAAAGCTGTTTCGGTCACCAGTGACTTTCATTGCATGAACAAAAAAATACAAAAAAATAGATGTTATCTTCTTTTTTGTTCCATATTAGGTTCGGCCATTGTAGTTTAATAAATTTTGTTGAATCAAATCAAATATTTATTTCTAAAGCTACTCCTTGTAATGTCTACTTGATACTTTATTATTTAACACAATAATAGTTTAAAATAATCTTTTGTGGGTATTTTCACAGCCTAATTTAATTTGCGATTAATCGCCGCACCATGTAATTAATTAGATCGACTGACAGCCTTACAATAAAGTTAAAATATACTGTTTCTATAAATACAACCAACAGCTTTGAAGAGTTTTATATTTGACCGTGGTGTTTAATTGGATGATTTGCAGTGCTTCACAGGACTCACTAAAGTCTTGTATCTTTGTCTGATTTTCTTTCACTTTTTTTTCTTTTTTTTTTGCTTCAAAGTTCATAATGTTATGATTCTCCTTGTAGCTGGTTGGTTTGGTTCAATGCTTTAATGCACTCTATAAACACTTAAATGTGTATTTTGGATGTTTGATCAGGGACGGCGATCACTATGACGCGCTGCGGGACTGTCTGAAGGCCTTGTCTCTGAACCCGGGCCATCTGAAGGCACACTTCCGCTTAGCGCGCTGCCTGTTTGAGCTCAAGTACATCGCCGAGGCTCTGGAGTGTCTAGATGACTTCAAGGGCAAGTTTCCAGAGCAAGCGCACAGCAGCGCATGCGACGCGCTCGACAGAGACATCAAGGCGGCCCTCTTCTCAAAAACAGACTCCTGTAGGTTCAGTCTTGGAGCTTGGATTTTGTTTGTGCATGCATTTGAATAATCAGGACTCTGCATATTTTTCATGCATCCAGCTGACGACAAGAAGGGGAACAGCTCCATCCGCTTCCATAACTTCAGCCGGAAGGAGTCCATCCCGGAGGATGAGATCGTGCTGAGAGAGCGCAGCTTCGACTACAAGCATCGCTACTGTGGCCACTGCAACACCACCACTGATATTAAAGAAGCCAACTTCTTCGGAAGGTCAGTTTACTGGCACCTTGTTTGCTTTTCATGAATCACTTCTGAGTGATGTATTTAATATATACACTGCTGCCGTTCAAAAGTTTGGCATCAGTACGGTACAGTACAGTAATATTGTGAAATATTATTATAATTAAAAATAACAGTGTTCTATGTGAATATCTGTTAAACTGTAATGTATTTCTGTGATGCGCAGCTGTATTTTCAGCATCATTACTCCAGTCTTCAGTGTCACATGATCTTCAGAAATCATTCTAATATGCTGATTTATTATAGTTTTGCTGCTTAATATTTTTTTGGAACCTATGATACTTTTTTCAGGATTATTGGATGAATAAAGTTAGAAAGAACAGAAAAGAACCTCTAACAATATAAGTCTTTACTGTCAATTTTTTATAAATTTAACACATCCTTGCTGAATAACAGTATTGATTTCTTTCAAAAATAGAAAAAAAAGAAAAAGTATTGACCCCAAACTTTTGAACAGTAGTGCATATCGTTACAAAAGATTTCTATTTTAAGTAAATGCTGTTCTTTTGAACTTTTTATTCATCAAATAATCCTGAAAAAAAGTATCACAAAAGTTCCAAAACAATATTAAGCAGCCAAAACTGTTTCCAACATTAATAATAAATCAGCATATTATTATGATTTCTGAAGATCATGTGACACTGAAGACTGGAGTAATGATGCTGAAAATACAGCTGCGCATCACAGAAATACATTACAGTTTAACACATATTAAAATAGAACACTGTTATTTTAAATGGTAATAATATTACTGCTTTTGCTGTATTTCTGATCAAATAAATGCATGCTTGGTGACCAGAAGACACTTCTTTAAAAAACATTAAAATCTCACTGTTCAGAAACGTTTGATTGGTACTCGTTCGGTTGTCGCTCTGCAGTAAAGGCCAGTACATTGTGAGCGGTTCAGACGACGGCTCGTTCTTCATCTGGGAGAAAGAGACGACGAACCTAGTGCGGATCTTACAGGGAGACGAGTCTATAGTGAACTGCCTGCAGCCGCATCCCAGCTACTGCTTCCTGGCCACCAGCGGCATCGACCCCGTGGTGCGGCTCTGGAGCCCCAGACCTGAGGTACCGACCCACTGACCTCATTATGAACGATGAATGATTCAGTTAGGCCTGGGCGATTAAACCGTATCGCCATTTATCGACGCTACACCTTCATCGATGCATCATGTATTTATGCATAGCTTAATACAAATAGCCAAAGCGCCGATCGCATGATTGCATTTAAAAACATACGAGACGCTGAGGAATGAAACAAAAGACATGTTTTCTACAAGTTTAACTCTTTTAACTTTACTTGTGTGAGACGCGAGTGCAACAGAACACTCAAGAGTGCAACAAACGCTGCTGCGTTTTCCATTCAGTATATTAGAGAACTATAGAAGCTCAATGCGGAGAAGATATTGGTTAGATTAAACCCCAAACCAAGCCGTTCACACAGAACGCGTATTCTGTTGCACTCGCGTCTCGCACAAGTAAAGTTAAAAGAGTTAAACTTGTAGAAAACACATCTTTTGTTTCGTTCCTCTGCGTCTCGTATGTTTTTAAATGCAATCATGCGATCGGCGCTTTGGCTATTTGTATTAAGCTATGCATAAATACATGATGCACTTAGTTTATGCAATTCACAAAATTATATTTTGATTTATATATGTTAGTTTAGACGTGATGCACTTATTTAGTCGTTATTTCATTGCATTGAATAAACGTATTTTGCTCATTGCTCATTGTTTAAAACAAGAAAGGAGATATTTGTTTCAATTTTATTTTGTGTTTGACTTAAAACCAAAATGATTTGTTGTTTGTCTTAATAAATTGGGTAAATTAAAAATACAGTGCTTAAATGTAAACCTTTTTTTCTACTGCTCTTTGTTTAAAAAACGTTATGAAACATATATATAATTATCGATACCGAATGAAATGAAACATTATATCGTGATAAATTTTTTAGCTTTATCGCCCAGCCATAGAATCACTTTCATTCATTAGTTTTCATTTCACTTTTCAGTTTAGTATTTCATTCAGTTCGGTTTGATGCACTGAACTAGTGCTGCGACTAACGATTATTTTGATTATCTAATCAGAAAAAACAAATCAAAAAATGCATAAAAAATGATAATTGAAAATTAAAAATAAAGTAATCTAAATCCATTATTTACAAAATTGTTATTCCACATACTGCTCAAACAATGTGCAATTTGAAGGCAATAAAAAAACAAATATAGTGAATATTTCTATGTAGGGGTTAAATTTACTTACCATTTGAAAGAAGTTAAAATCACTAAATTAAATGATAATAAAAAAACAAAAGCACAGACTAAATGTTAACTGCATATTCCATTACTGGCACTGCTCTTATAAAAATAGTTACATGTGGAGTTTTAAACACGCATTTAATGTCTAAAAAGAAATGTTTTAGAAAAATGTGTATTTTAGTCTGAATATTATCGTGCTCCAAGTCTGTTAAGCACTTGTTGTTTGAAGTCTGCAAATTTTAACAGGCTTGCTTGCAGTAAAAACATTAATCTACTGTTTATGCTTTTGTTTGAAGCACTAAATATGACGCAACACTTCATTCTGCGTCTTTTCAGATGCGTTATTCTCTGGTATAAAGTGACGTGGATGTGCGAATGTTTTCAGTGCAGATATGAATAATCGATAATCAGATATGTTGTTGATTATTTATGATGCAGCCCGACATTGAATAGTGGATTGATTCAGTAGCTTTTAAAACTGCATTAAAGGAATAGTTCACCCAAAACTGAAAACTCAGTCCTCTGCAAGTGAATGGGTGCCGTCAGAACGAGAGCTGATAAAAACATCACAATAATCCACAGCACTCCAGTCCATCAGTTAACATCTGGAGAAGACAAAAGGTGAGACAAATCCAGCATTTCATATGTCTATACTCCATAATAACGCTTCCTCCAGTGAAAAAGTGTCTGAATCAGGAGAGAAATCTTGCACAGATCAAGCACCATTTAAACAGCTCTAAACAAATAAGTGGCTGGATTTTGATGTGAGAGACAACAGCAGATGCACTTTTTCACTGGAGGAAGCGTTATTATGGATTATAGACATATGAAATGCTGGATTTGTTTCAGCTTTTGTCTTCTCCAGATGTTAACTGATGGACTGGAGTGCTGTGGATTACTTGTGATGTTTTTATCAGCTCTCGTTCTGACGGCACCCATTCACTGCAGTGGACTGATTTTTCAGTTTTGGGTGACCTACTCTTTTTGAAGCTAGGCTGTTGATTGCACCAAACGTGACTTGTGTTGTCTTCTGTCTGATCGTCAGTCGGAGGAGAAGGAGAACTGTCGGGTGGTGGAGGACATGGAGAGCGCGGCCCAAGCCAACCAGAGGCGCATGAACGCGGATCCGCTGGAGGTGATGCTGCTGAACATGGGTTACCGCATCTCGGGTCTGAGCAGCCGAGGCACCGAGGGCTCAGATGATGAAGAGAGCTCGGAGAGCCAGGTTCAGTGCCGTTCCAGCTAAACGACACCGGAGCGCCAAGCACCTTAGATATTTACTTTGCAATTTCAGTGTGAGCGAATGCTGCCGCTCTGCAGAAGGAAGCGAGAAAACCAGCTTCCCTCCGAAGCCAAAGCACTTCTAGATCTGCAACACATTTTTGGCACCGTTCAGGTTTAAAGCTTGTTAATGCGGGGCTTGCTTGCTTTTGGACGCGGTTTCGTCTCGTTTTGTTTCTTTTCCGAATGAACTTGAGCACCAGAGGACAGTAAAAAGAGTTACTGTTCATAAAAGTATGTTTATAGGTCTGCAGCACTTTCTTTTGGAATACATTCTGGAAAATAAACAGTGTTTCTGTTCGACCCAGACTTGTGGATGTTCTGGGACTGAAAATGTTTGTTGTTGTTTTTGTTGATGACAATGATGATTCGTTAAAGCAATAAGCCCCGTGAAGCCGTGGTTTACGGTGAATTTATAACAGTTAAGTGCCTAACAACGCCCCTTAGCTGTTATAAATTCACGGCTTCACGGGGATTATTGCTTTTATAAAACGGTTATTCCATATACGTAGTAAGGTTTCACAAAATAAAACAGAGCAAGTAAAGTGTAATGATATTAATAAAAACAGTATTCTTCCACCAAACAATGTAGCTCCTCAGCAACAGTTGTGGTTGCTACAAAGTGGTTGCCGAGTAACACACAAACGTAAACAAAGGTGTATGTTACTTTGTAGAGTCATTTACAACAGCTTCGAACGTGGCTCAGCCAATCAGAATCAAGCACCGGAACGCTGGTTTATTATTATTATTTTTTTTTTTTAACCTTTTTTCTCATCGGCACGAGCAGGACGTCTTGCCCTTTTATCTTCCTCGATGAACCTGAGAAGAGAAGAATAAAGACACAGAGACAGACTTTTCACAAGCAGTTAAAAGAAACTAGAATCGGCTCTGTTTTGGGATATGTGTGATTTAGTTTTTTGTGTCTTTGGGGATTTTAGTAGTTTAGTGCGACGTAAAAAAATAAAGGACATGTAAAGTTCTGCAGCAGCTCCGTCGTGGCTCTCATGATCATCGGTGGGGGTTTTCAGAGGAAAACATTATATTATATGAATAAAATGTCACTTTAATCATCAACGGCATGGCTTTATAAACCGTAATAATGGTAATACTCATTACAGACATGAAGCCATCGACAACGCACAGCCCCATCTGTCTCAAATAAAATTAATTTATTTACAAATATCATGTCATTCTTTTTTTCTTTTGTAATTTGCCTTTTACATTAAAGTCAGCTCATGATGCAGGGCTTCTGCTGCTTCCATGAAGGTGAATTCAAGACTTCTTAAAGTCCTTTTTAAGACCATGTAGAGACATTTTAAGGAATGAATTGAAGGGAACACAATATGTCAGTATTTCTAAACGAGTTGAATTAGCAAGTCTTCAAAATCTGAAAACAACTTCCAACAAATATCCGTCACTATTTAGTTTATTTGACCAAAATAAGTAAATGAATAACAACAGTGTTGTTTTAACATAATTTCTGCATTATATAATAAAAAATGTTTGTTAAAATTTTGAATTCAATTTTGTGTTTTTAATTGCCTTTTTAAATTAATTTTAATTTTTACTTTATTTAATTCGTGTTATTTTAGTACTTCAAGTTAAACTAAACAAAAATGAGAAATGATGCTATTTCAGTTAACATTTATTTATTTTTAAGTAACCATTTCTTAAGGTTTTAGTTAACTATAATAACCCTGCCACTGGATTATAGAAAATAACTTTTCCTTCTGATTAAAAAAAGTGCTGTTCTTCTTCAGTATGTGTGCATGTTCTTCAATCAAAATACACCGAGAAATTGATCAAAATTATGGTTAAAATGAACAAATATCTGCAAACGGGCTCAGAAAAATCAACCTGATTCGAAGGAAAAAGTGAAGTTTTCATTCCCCATTCGCAGATATTTGTTCTCGTTTTAGGCATAAACTCAATTTTGTTCAATTTCTCAGAAAACAAGACTTCATATGCTCCTTTTGCATCTCCAGTAAATGCCTCTTGATTTAAGGATGCTTAGATGTATGTACTGGACAACAAGATAAACATACTTAGGAAGATGTTCATTATTTGCAGCGCATGCAACATTTAATGCATGACTTTAAGACTTGTATGTTAAGGCCTTCATTTGTGAAATAAGACTAATAAGGCATTTGTCCTATTTTTGTTTTTAACACATGCATGATTGAACTCAAAATAACCCATGCAACCAATGGATTGCGCTGCAGACGTGGTACTCGCAGCTGATTGGTTGCTCTGAATTGACGCAAATACGTTTGCCTCCAAATCCCAGTGTGCTTCTGTGATGAAGGTGTTACGTTGACTTTCCCTGCCCACAATTACTCAAAGTCAGTTTTTTTGCTGAATAGTGTTTTTTTTTCTCCGTGTGTTATTAATTTGTTGTGGTGTTGAAGGAAACCTGTGTCCTCTAAAGGCCACCTGACCTACATACACTAATGAGGGGAGTATAGCACACATCTAGGCCAGATGGGCTGCAAGGCCACGGCTGTGTTCAGAATAGCACACTACCTAGTGTGCATACTCTGCAAGTAGACATTACCTTAAAGAGTGAATTTTACCTGATTTAACCTATAAAAAAAAATTTTTTTGGTATAAATTAATGTATTTATGTTGATTCATTGCATTGGTTATTATAGTTAAATAAAAGTGAAACTAAAATTAAAACCATTAAAAAACATGTTTTGTAACTAAACGCTATTTGAAATAAAATAAAATATAAAAAAACTTTTTATTTCAGCTATTTCTCATATTACTTTACTAAAATAACTAAAACTGACATAAAAATTAATAAAAACTATATAGACATAAAAACTAAAATATTAAAATAAAAAATCTAAAAAATAAAAACATTCAAAATATTAATAAAAACTCAAATCAGACTTACAAAATGTACGTTTTTACACAAAATTACTCATAACTATATTTATTTGCAATTCTTACCTTAAAGAGTGATTTAAAGTGATTTAACCTATAAAAATTAGTTTTGTTGGTGTAAATTAACATATTTCAGTTGATTCAGTGCATGGTTATTACGGTTAAATAAAACTGAAACTAAAATTAAAACCATTAAAAAAAACATTTTTGTAACTTGAAATAAAATAAACGTTAAAGGACATAAAATATAAAAAAGAATTTTTATTTCAGCTTGTTGCCATGCCATTCCTAAGTTCCATTTATTTTAATTTGATGTACTAAAATAACTCAAACTAAAAATGATTTAAAAATATATAAACCGAAAATGGACAATCAATTTCTAACCTTTATATAATGTGTTTTTTATGGATTTTTATACTGCGTTTTTTCTGGATTTTTTGGTCGGTATTCTGTCTCTATACGTTAAAATAAACCTACCATAAAAATTACAGACCCTTCATTTCTTTGTAAGTGGGCAATTAAATAAATATATAATCAAAATAAATAATCAAATAAATATTTTCCCCACTGTATACATATATATTAAACAAAAACTACTAAAAATGACAAAAACAAACAACAAAATTACTAAAACTTCAAAAGGGAAAATAAAAATGAAAACAGTAACAGTATCTCAATTACAGTAAAATTGCACTGATTCTGTGATGCTACATAACACTGTTTGATCTGAATGCCACTAATGTTTGCTCATAAAGGTAAGAGTAATAGACGCATATCCAATAGTTTGTGCGGAGAGTGGAAGCTAAAGCGCGCTTTGAAGGACATGAAGTCACCAGCGAGATCACTTGCATTTTTTTCAGTGGAAACAACTTTAAATAGCCTATGCATAATTTTTACTCATAAAGAGTAATACATGATTCGGAACTGCAATGTGTCTACTTTTATTTGTGTGCACTCACAATATCAACAAAACGTTGTGCTTTTATAAAATAGAGAAAACAAACGCTTTCTGCCGTCTCGGTCTTGAACAGAAGCGATGATGAACCTAAACTCAGCGAATTGCCTCACAGGCATGATTAAAATATATATAAAGCTTTAAATTACTACTTTAAAACGAATGAATTCAAATCAAAAATAGAAACTCTTTCATTAAAGATGCATTTCTCTCACGGCAAGCACGTCCAATGAGGAGACGGCGAGTCATTTTTTTCATCACCATAATTGATTGATGGTCTAAAATATAATATAAATATAATATAATATAAAAAATGAGGAAAAGCCTAAAACAGGCCCGATTATAATTTGCGTATTGTTCTGTACAATTAAAACATAAAACACAAATTATAATGGCATATGTGTAAAACTTTGTCCTTTAATTGTATAGCTGCTTATATTTCCTGATTTTTATGTTGCCGAATACCTTAAAATGTAAAGGATTTGCTGCAACGCAATTTTGTCTGATACGTGAATTATTTATTAGCCTTTTTTAATCCATACAGCAAATGCTTTAAAAACATCTTTAAAAAAAAATACTTTATTGCATTCCAGATGCTTTTAAAGTACACTGTAAAAAAAATTCCATAAAATTTACAGTAAAAAAACGGCAGGTGTTAGGTGTAACACACAACCCTAATATACAAAACTGAGAAGAAAAAACTAAGAAACAGTTATTTCAACAAAAAAAATATAAAATTTGAACTGTAACGCAGGGAATTCTGGGAATGCCAATTTACGGTTATTCACTGTAAATTATACGTCTTTTTCACTTCCAAAAACGGTATACTACCGTAAAATTAATGTCCAATACATGTAATGTCCAATACAGTTTTTCACCGTATATAGCTGGGGAATTTACCGTTAACCATTTAACAGGTTTTTACTGTAGCATTTTTACAGTCTTTTACCGTAAAATTCACGGTCATTTTTTACATTCACTATATATTTTTACGGGTAGCTTGAATGTAAAACATTGTCATGAATTCGTTGTATTCCCATTTGTAAAATAGCCTAGAAATTAATTGCTTTAGGCTAACCCGATCTCATGAAAGTGCGTATTGCATGATTTTCTGCTTCTATTTGGCGTAATATTTATATGCAGGAATGGACTTTGGCATGCAAAAGACTGATAAATTAATAATTAATAGCATGGCTGGTTCAGTCGACAGAAATACGGGACACACAGGTCTATAATAACTGCTGAAATGTTTGCAGGGCAAATCTCAGGCCAGTCTGAGCACTCATGATACTCACAGTGTGTACAGCCGTACACCTGCAGGAGCCACTGCTAGTATGCATCAGCCCACATAACTGTAGTGCAGCAAATGGCCTTTGCTTTAATGGAATAATCTCTAGAACAATCCCAACCCAAATCCCTCATTTATAAAGCGGATAGTTCCGGTGCTTGATTCTGATTGGCTGAGCCGCGTTCGAAGCTGTTGTAAATGACTCTACAAAGTAACACACCTTTGTTTACGTTTGTGTGTTGCTCGGCAACCACTTTGTAGCAACCACAACTGTTTCTG